CTTGAATTGTGTTTTGGTTTTTGGATTGGGTAGCCGCGAGTTCCCCTGCAGAATTTCTTCTTCTCTGCAGTCGGCTTCTCCCCCCTGCTAGGCTCGGTTTTGCTTGCTAAATTTTGGTAAGTTGCCGGCTTTTCCAAGCTTAAAATTACCTATTTAATTGCTGGGTTTTGTCCATTAAGTGCTGCCCTGTGCTTGCCGAATTTTGCTAAAATGGGGGAGGAATTCCGGTAGCATTTAAATGTGTTTTGTGCTTGGTTTATGTAGGAATTTTGTTAATTGGGCTGTTGTGACGTTGTGTAGGAGTAATCCCGTGACTTGGCCATTGTTGGCCAAAGTCGTGGGTCTCCATTGCTTGTCTGGGAAATTGGAATGAATTTTGGTAGCTTTAAGTTATGTTTTTAAGCTTGACTTAAGTGTAAATTAGCATGGATTGGGTTGTGGTGATTTTGGAGAAAAATCCCGTGAGACTAGCTAGTGTTTTAGCCAATTTTGGAAGTTACAGTCACTGTTCACGGCGTGAGCACTGTTCACGGGTACTGTTCACGGGCACTGTTCACACACCGAGGGTCAACGATTAACGGGGATTTAAATGATTAGTTTGTGATATAAGAATGAATTTGGAGATGTCCGGTTATGTGGAGATTGATAGAAATAGCACTATGATTAGGGGTAGTGCTAATGATGATTTTACTTGAATTTGTGGTTGTGCGGTATTAATGGTGGAATATTGTGATTAGGTTTTGATCGTTCTGTCACCGTGGCACTTGGGTTAGCCTTTTGTTATGTGCGAGTGAGGTAAGTAAATCATGGTAAAGCCCTTCGATTTTAAAGCATGTTTTAAACTGTTTTTGAGATGGTGGCAAGGTTTAAATTGATTTTAAATTGATTTTATTAGCATCTGAATGTGATTAAACTGAAATGGAAATTGTGATGGTTTTTATGAGAATTTCATTGTTTTCTGGAATTGAGCATGATTGGAATGAAAATGAGAATTTCATTGTTTTTCTGAAGTTGAGCATGCCTATTTGGAAATTGACTGAACTGTTTTGATGAACTGAGAATTTTGTAAATGTTGAGTTTTCTGTTAAATCCATGCCTGCATGGTTTTGTCTCGAATATAGTTATGATTATTGATGATCCTGCTAGTGGGGGTTAAACGCTAGCACATGTCGGCGCATGTCGATATGTTATTGATGATCCTGCTAGTGGGGGTTAAACGCTAGCACATGTCGGCGCATGTCGATATGTTATTGATAGAACCGATTCGTTCCTGTAACCCTACTAGTGGGGGTTAAACACTAGTAATTCCTGTAGCCTGCCAGTGGGAGGTTTAAACACTGGCCGTGACCAATAGAGGAGACGTCTATTTCGTGCCCGTACTGTATCTGTTTTCGTGATTACACTTGTTGGCATGCTATGAGTTTAATTAACGGTTTGTCATGAAACGTTTTGTTATTGAATTGAATCTGATTTTGCACTGACGGTTTTGTCATTGAACGTTTTGCTATTGAACCGAACTTGATTTCCGCATTAACGGTTTATTAGTGAAAGTTCTGTTATGTTTACATGGTTTGTCAGGCATGTTAAAAGTTTTACTCAAGTGTTATCCATATTTACTTACTGAGTTTATTTTATAGTTTTTCCTTGTCCACCATTTCAGGAAGTGAAACTGAGGACGGGGAAACCACGGGAAGTGACGAGTTAGAAGGCTAGCCATTTCGAGATTGATATAGATTCTAGAAATCATGATCTGGTAAACCATAGTGTATTTGGAGATTTATGATATGAGAGAATATCTTATAATTTGATCTTCAGATTTTGATGGTATTAGTTTGTGATTTGAATAAGTTCCGAGCCTTGTGCACTTGTGGGACTCGTCTCACGAGTGTACGGTGTCTGTCGCGCCTTGGATTCGAGTTCTGGGTGTGACAAATTGGTTGATAAAATGCCACGAAGGGCATGGAACGATACTTTTTAGATTTTTTTTTTTCCTTTTTTTTTTGAACAAGGTAAATGTCAACTACAACATTTTATATTTTTAGGGGTGGCGGGAACGGGAGCTGGGGTTTCAACTTCTTACCTCCCAGCAATGTTTCCACTTTAGGGACAGAGTGAAACCACCCCATCCATAATGAGAACGGAACGATACTTTTTAGATTTGTTATAGCACACTGGAAAAATTAATTAAGTAGTTTGAAATTTGAAGATATGTTGATATGTTGATTTAGAATTTGCAAAATAATACTTAAGGAACATTCCTTCTGTACATGTATTTATAGCTGAATTAGAGTATAAAATAAAAGATAATTAATAGCCATTAAGATTATATTAATTCAGAAGGAGCGCGGAGATAAATTTATTTCTTCCTCTATTCAGTTTTAGTAGTGCTAATTTTTTGTTTGGAGCATTCAAATTTAATTGTCCGTTATTCTTTTTTAAGATGCCATTAAATGTGTTTATTCTTATTTTATCATCGTTTTAAAAAGATAATTACAACATATATTAAATAAAAAGTCTTATTTAAGTAGTACTTAGTTAAGGATAAATATAAAATTTTATCAATAAATTATTAAATTTTATTTTATTGGACAAAAAAAATTGAATCTACTAAAAATCAACAAAGGGAGTACAATTTAAATTAAAGATTGTGAGAACTTTTGAAAATGTTCTATTATTTTGTTGTCTGGTTCACGATGTAAATGTATTGGAGTAAATTTTATAAAAAATTATGTATGTGAGTTTCAATACAAAATTTACATTTAATATAAAATTAATTAGTGATATGTAGAGTAAATCTTCTTTTATTTAATATAATATTTTCCTACTTAATACACCTCCTAACATGCAAGCTCGATAGATATGAACATCGAATCTTATCATGTAGGTAGGGATGGCACCACCTTGAGATTGGGGGTTGTGGCCCCTTGGTCTTTTGAAAAATTTTTAATTAGTCCACAAATTTTATATTTTAGGAATTTTATCCTTAAATTTTATTTTACTCACTCAATTATTTTTAATAGTTATGAAAATAATTATCATTACTCTTTTCTAAATCTTGTCATTAAATTTAAAATAAAATGTTGACATAACAATTGGTAACTTCTTAAGGGGAATTTATTAGCTATAAAAATGACCTTTTAGAAAATCTTTAAGGTTTCAACATTTCTCTTCAATTTTAAAAAAAACCCTTAGTTTATCATCTTTTTAGTGCCTAAGGTTAATATAAAATATTCATTTTAGTTACTAATATTTATTTTTTTCCAAGTCAAATGTTAAAACTTCACATCTAACTTAAGCTTTTTTATTAAGTTAAATCCATTTATTTGAATTTATCATATGCTATATAAATTTTTTTATATCTTTCTAAATTTATTACATTTTTTTTAGGTTTTTTATATTTTTTTTCCCATAAATACAGTTAGTTAATTATTCAATAATTACCAAAAATTTTGAAGGATAATGTATTTTACATTGAATATGCTTAAGTTTGATTTTAAACACAAATTTACAACTTTACAATTATATGTTACTCCATTTGATCATTTTTAGTTACTCAATTTCATCAACTTTATATTAATGGATTTTTTTGTCCCATGTCCTTTGGGACAGGATAATGATGCAATAAATGCATATTTTCATAATTAATTTTTATTAAAAGTATAAATATTGACTTTGATTTAATCAATTAATCAATTAAAATCATCTATGTGTTAATGATGTTAAAATATATATTAATTTTTACAATTTTTAATGTGAATTAATTATAAAAAAA